AAATCATCTCATAATTAAATTTGTGTTAATTTTAAAATATCTCAGTACTCAATTGAGTTCGTTTTTATTTTTATTTTTCTAAATTGGTAGGTTGGTGAATGATGGGTCCTTTGACATAAAATAAAAGAGTGAGAAATAGTGTTACCACAAAATTGTCACGTTTAACACAATTTGGATGTTTAGTGATAGTAGGGTATCTCTCTTCTTCTTCATAAGTAAAGTCCCTAGAGATGAGCAAATCGAATAGTGTTTCATTAGAGTGTGCACCAACACAATCAAAAAAGGTTTTATTGGATTCTATACATGAGGAAGATGTGTAAAAGCAGCAGCTTGAGTGATAAAATAGTGGAAATATATACATATATATTTTGCAAGGTAAGTGATAGAGTTTAGAGATTAAAAAAAGATACAACTAGTATTGTATTAAAGGGATGTGAATGGAAGATTAAAGAGTTTAGATGAAACTTGTAACATAGATAGGGTTTAAGGTCAAATTCAAAAGGAAACAAAAGATGGTGCAATGATTTATCTCCGACCAAACCTAACTCTTGACAACATGGAAACAGTGGTCGGTGCATGTGGTAAATAGTCTTGTTTGTTAATTGGAGTAATTTACATGGACCCATTTTAATGCAGTGTGGATCCATAAACATGTCATTCATCATAGCAAATTTTGCTACCTTATAATAATTATTGCAGTTCCCTTTCACTAACACATTGAACATGCATATTCCGTCCACTCAATTTTTTTCAACGATCAATCAATGGTAGCAACATATCCCTTCGCCCTTAACCAGCTTTGGAACATCAATTTTCTGCCCAATTCCAATTAAGTTAGTATTCATTGCAGATTTCAAGTCAAAAATTGGGGCTACGATTAGACTGACAGCCCAAAAAAATTAAACTGCGTATGATCAACCCCAATCAACCAAAAACCAAGAGAAACAGCTTCATTTGCATACCTATGTAGAATGTCCCTGACAACAAATTCTTTATGAATAAACAGTACATGTCACAAATAAAGCACATGGATATGCAATCAACAGAAACCTTGAGAAAAATTTATCAAGCGAAAAGTGTACCCATTGATCAATATGTAGGTAGCCAAATCCTTGGAGATCGCATATATTTGTCCAGTTGCATGCCTAAAATACTTATTTCCCTCCTCACCAAATTTCCAGTATTCGGGTTCATGGTAATTCACTCCTCTGCACAAAAAGTATGTCATACTAGAAAATTTTGAACCTTCAAGTACAACTGTAGAAGCTCATTTTGGGTCTAGAGTCTTACTTCTGTGAAAGAACGGGTCCAGATTTCATGCAACCCACGTACACACAAGGTTTAGATCGATGACGGTCTAACAATGGACCTACAACACCTGTGACAATATATGGGATTAGTACATATTCATCCCTCTCCTACTTAGTGTTGGGAGGATGCATCATTAATTCACTAGCTTAATGCTTAATATAGAACTATAATAATTCTCTGCGCGCTAATATCTGTGCAAGGGACTAGCACCGCGAGCAACCTACACAGGCAAATATTTGCTAGGACTCAAATCTTTAAAAGAGATTTTAATGAAAGTAGAAATGTAGAGAACCTAAATTTATAGATGTTGGATCGAGCATGCTTAAATGGAAGCAACATGGATAATTAAACATCTTATAGGCAGTACGAATTAGCTCTAGTTCTTGTTGTACTCTCCTAATTAGTGTGGACTCACTATTGCTTAGCATTCAGATAAATAAGCTTCTCCTAACCCAGATTGACATGCACATTGTCGTCAACTTTAATAAAGAAGTCAGCATCCCATTTTGCTGCTGCAGTTGAAATCCCTATTATCTCTTAATCTTGGACTTCACATGATGTATCGGATATTAAGTCGTGTATTCGAAATTGAGACAAATACTTTAGGGTGTATCTATATTATATCAAATTTAAGAAATTTTAAGAGTATAGAATTTACTGTTATGAAATGGGTACTAGTTAAGTGACAAGCCCAAAAACATATGTTTGTGCACTTGGTTCTGAATTAAGCCCTTTCTTGGGCCTTGTATGTGTGTTGTTGTAGTGCAAAAGTGTCATGGGGCCTTTTATTAAGACCCAGCCCAGAGGCTCAAATAGGAATCTGGGTAGAGATAGGAGAGGGTGCCGAGTTTTATCCACTTCCTCTCTCGTTCGTCTTTCTTCTTCTATCAGAAAGAAAAGAAAAATGGCGTCTTTATCGAGTTGTAATCATCCAGGGAAACTCTGTTCCTCGTTTTCACCTTCCTCCCTTAAGTTGTCATGGGTCCAACGCGTGTCGGTTCAGTTCATTCACACCCAAAACCACACTTGTTCCCTTCCTTATGCTCCAAGGGCTCTCACTGTCATTTCCATGGCCCCCCCTAAGCCCGGTGGTGGTAAAGCGAAGAAAGGTATTATTTTCACTTTGCTTTTTAAGTTTGGGGTTTGAATATTTTTACTGATGGGTTGCATTTTTTTTTGGTCAGTCACTGGTATTATAAAGTTAGCTCTCGAGGCAGGGAAGGCAACCCCAGCTCCACCCGTGGGGCCGGCCTTGGGTTCCAAAGGTGTTAACATCATGGCATTCTGTAAGGATTACAATGCCAGAACTGCTGACAAAGCTGGTTATGTTATTCCTGTGGAAATCACCGTCTATGATGTCAGTTCTTCATTTTTATTGCCAATTATTAAAACATGATTAAAGTCTCATTGTGCCTCTTCCTTCTCTTCCAGGATAGAAGCTTCACTTTTATCTTGAAGACCCCACCTGCTTCTGTTTTGCTGCTCAAGGCTGCAGGTATTTAGAATTTTTCAGTAAAAATGTGAAGGTTTAGTTTAGAGGCAAGTCAGGAAAACTAAATGATTCATTTAGAGTTAGTTACCATTTAGCTTGAATATGAAGGACACAAGAATGTATTTGATTTACTGATTGATGTACGATGCTCAACTTGGTGCTGAATATATCAAGCTAGTTTTGGATGAGTACATCATATCCTGGCCTATTACTACCACACTCTTGCTTGTTGTTCCAACATCAGTCACCACAGTTGTATGAGACATATGGCCACTTCTCTGCCGGAATTCCATAAATATTTGCTTGTAGTTTGAGATCAAGAAATTCATAAAATCCTCTTTAGCTCTAGACTTATAGAGTACTTATAAGGACATTAACATTTATGACAGCAAGGAAGGTGAAGGGTTAAGCACTCCCCTAAACAATAGACACCCTTGAAGACTACCACTTGATATACTACCCCATGATCTTGGCTTGAATCAGGAACTAAAACTAGTTTATGCCTGATATTAGTTAACCACCTCACCTGTGCACTTTTTAAACAAAGGACGCCTGTGAAGACTACAACTCGAAGCACTATCCAATGATCTTGGCTTGAATTGGGTATAAGAACAGGAAACTTTAGAGTCTTGTTTATGAAAATTTTCCCGCCTTCCATGATATTTTTCATAGTAGGACGTAGACATGTAAAATTACAGAAAAACTAGACTGAAAACTCCCTTTTTTTAAATTTTCCATGTTGCTCTGCTAGATGGTTGGACAAAAAGGGAGAACGAAAAAAAAAGAAATATTGAAATCCGAATTAGAAAAACAGTTGAGACTCTCTTTCTTTCTGGGTGGAGAATGATCATATATATAGATGCTCTGGCTGCGGTTTTCTACTCATAGACTATAGTTCTATGCTAATCCAAAATAGGCAGTAGATTTAAACATTTCGTGTTTGGAATGGCAAAATCATTGGGCATGCTGTCCTTGCTTCAACAAACTATAGAACTAAAATGAACTCCTTCGTTATTGTATAAGCACTGTTTTTTGGGTTACAGTTGATTATAATAACATGAAAGGTAATTTTTGAAGTAGATAACAGTGAGTGAAATAAATTTGCTCAAAAAGTTAGAATATTAGCTTGTTCTACTAGATGTTTATGCATACTGCTGATATCCCCTTTCTTTGGTATATGGGGTCAAACCCCCTGTTTTATTCAGGGAAAAATGCCAGCACTGACTTGGTGCTTGATCATTTTGATGAATAAGATCTTTGCTTATCCCATAATAAAAAGTATAATTTCACAATTTGGAAATCAGGCGTTCAATCAAAATAATACACCTTGTAGATGTTAATGTGAACTTGTGCTGGAGTTTAGCTTTTTATGGTGCAGTTACTCTATCTTTGCTATAGCCTGGTTGTCATAAAGTTGTGGTGCATACAAAAGTTTGGATAGTTTCCAAAGATGTGAAGATGATTAACTATTTTATCACTTTGTAGGAGTGGAAAAGGGCTCGAAGGACCCACAGAGGGAGAAAGTGGGGAAAATAACTATTGATCAATTGAAGGTAATTGCTCAAGAGAAGTTGCCGGATCTTAATTGTTCTACTATTGAATCTGCAATGAGGATAATAGCTGGCACTGCAGCAAATATGGGAATTGACATTGACCCTCCGATTCTTGAACCTAAAAAGAAAGAACTTGTGTACTAGTTATGCCTTTTCTATTCCCATGTAATGTATCCAAGTATTAGAAGCAAAAAAGAATTGGAAGAGAAGTAGATTGACTTGAGATAACCTTTTATCCGTTTGTTTCAATTCTTTGGACTCTTCATTCTTTAATTATGATGAATACACCATTCTCTAGTGCAAGATGCCAATCCAACTTTTTGTCCAGGTGCCATAAATTGAAGAAGAAACATTAATTTGGCATATATCAAGAGAAGATGGCACAAACATTTACTACTAAGAAAGCCTAGCCTATATATTTCTTCAAAAGAAAGGACTGATTGTGGCACACTTGGTGGTTTTTTTTCATTCTTAACTTCAAATGTATGTTGTTAAAAGTTTCACGTATGCATTGAAAAAGAGACTAATATAAAGAACATGCCAAAAAGAAGCTTTTTTTTTAAATCTACTTAAAAACGTTTTTAATTTGGTGATAGGTTTGGGGGCAGCCAAAATGTCTGGCTGGAAACGTGGGAATGGATAATAAGTAAAGATAAGGAAGGAGAGCCACCCACACCATTTTATTTATAGAAAATATTGTAAAGCTCCATTGCTGGCAGTAGCAGTGAAATGAGAGCAATTGAAATATACTGGTATGGGGGCTTAGCCGCTTCCACTCTATCACAATCATCATTGTCGTGTATTTCCAAGGTTCATCAGAGATGCCTGCGAACAAAAATCAAAGCAGTTGCAAGTAGTCATGAGAAGGAAGAGGCTTGTGTGAAGTTTGCCTTTGTCAGCGTGAGTAGTCCAATTCGATCATCATGAGTTAATTAGTAGTCACATGATTACCCATTAATAACTGCTCGTAATTCGTTCAGTCAGTACTCCTACCAGATGGGACACCAGATGTGCAGCTAAGGAAAGCATGTGGCGGCCAAAAACTTAGGGACATAATGCTCGATGCTAATGTCGAGTTGTATGGACCTTATGTATGTACTACTACTACTATATATATAATTCTTATCATCCAGTCCAGCTACTTATGTAAAATTATTAATCTCCTAGGCAAGACCTTTGCTCAATTGTGGGGGAGGAGGAACTTGTGCTACATGTTTGGTTGAGGTGAGTGTGAACATTTGGTTTTGCTGCTCTAAATTAAACATATCTCACACCGACAGACATCAATTATAGGTTGTTGAAGGAAAGGAGCTACTCAACCCTCGCACAGACAAGGAGAATGAAAATTTAAAACGGGTATACATATATATATATATACGAGCAAGTGATGAATGTAGTACTGTTGTTAATTAATTTGTATATATAATTTTCAGCATCCAAATAATTGGAGGCTTGCTTGTCAGGCAATAGTTGGTAAACCTGATTCTAGAGGCATGGTACGTATGGATCGAACGTCTTAATTAATTTCCAACTGTTAGTCTATTGACCAGTAATCAATTTGTACAGATGACCATTCAGCAACTTCCGGAATGGAAAGCACACGAGTGGAATTATAGAGGATTACCGCCTAATGAAGAGGAAGAAGAAGAAGCAGCATCAATTTCTTCATCTTCAGCCTGAGTTTTTATCTTTACACAACAGCTTGATCAATTATGTATGTCATGTCACAATAACCAGCTCTTCTCTTTTTGAGTCCAATTATATATGAGCTTCATAAATTTCTAAAAGTAAAAGAAAATACTTGGAATGGGAACAATAATTGATTAGTATGTCATCAAAAGAAATTGTGTTGGAACTGAAATAATTAATTAATAGGGCTTCATGCTAAAGATAGAGAATGCAGCTAAAGCCTAACAAATCGAAACAAAATATTACTATATTATTCAACAAACTAGATATCCTATTCTTTCTTGTAATGTTTTTTGTTTGGAGATGAAGAATAGAAATCGTCAGTCGATTGCCAACTTCCTGTAAATTTATCTCAACGGATTAGTTTAATTTAATCGTTCAATCAATTTAACATGAGTCAAAAATATTTTTCAACTTTTGCATTTGCAAGCCATATTAAATATCAGACGAAGACGGATGATGTTTGACCTGCAGAGCCAACTGTCCAAATCGAGTAAATCTGATTCTTTTAAGGAAATATTAAACAACAAGGCAAACATGTGATACATTTATGATTAACCAAAATAATTACAGTTTGCACCTATAAGTAGGTTCAATAGTTTTTTTTTTTTTATACAAATTGTATTCATTTTTATACAACATGTATTCCACCTCTCTTCCTCCAAACCAAACATAGATCTACTATAGTTATGGATCTCTAATTAAGTAGACATATAAACGTTTATATGTATAGGTGTGTGTGTGTAGCTTTTTAATTGGATAATAGAGAGATCCTAAAAGTCAACATGTCTGGCTGGAAATGAGAAGAAGAGGAAGTCAACAATTTAGATGTGGACAATTAAAATGTTAGATGTGGAGTCTGGTTTATTCATTTTAGTTTGTAGGTTAGGTGAATTAGAAAAATCAGGAAAAGGAATCGGACAACAATATTACTAGTTTCCTTGTCGCGTGGAAAGCTGTCTTGTTTCACCTAATACCTAGGGCTCTGTGCTATTATTTATATACACCCCACTCACCATTTCTCCTCTATTCATCTATATATCTACAAGTTGTCATTTTGCACGTAAAAATGAGTGATGAACAAAGACACGCCCCTCGTTTGAATGAGAGGATTCTCTCATCATTGTCAAGGAGGTCTGTCGCCGCTCACCCATGGCACGATCTCGAGATAGGTAGGTAGTTTAATTCTCTTTTTTCATTCATAATACTATCAATTATTAATGCTGCATTCTCATCATTCCTAATTGTTGCTGTGTAGGACCTGAAGCTCCAAATGTTTTCAATGTTGTAAGTACAATTGTTTTACACTCCCCTGTGATTGACATTGATTATGATCCTATCAGATTAAAGTAGCATTATCCTTACAGGTCATTGAGATATCGAAAGGCAGTAAAGTCAAATATGAGCTTGACAAGAAAACTGGTCTCATTAAGGCATGACCTCAACACTCCTAATTAAGCAATGTGAATGAATCTCTTCTTGTGTACATGTTGTGTCAATCTCCAATATCTATTTTCAGGTTGATCGCGTCCTATACTCATCAATGGTGTACCCCCAGAACTATGGCTTCATTCCTCGGACTTTATGTGAAGATAATGACCCCATGGATGTACTAGTGCTCATGCAGGTAACGGAATGCCCTATATCCTATACAATACAATGAATAGCATTTTCTCCGGTTCAATTGAATTGAGAAAATTGTTTCATCAACAGGAGCCTGTTCTCCCAGGCTGTTTCCTTCGAGCTAGGGCCATAGGTTTAATGCCTATGATTGATCAGGTTAGGTTGATTGCTGCCTGCAGGTTAAACTTTATTTCCTATCTGATAAAAGGATTTTTAATCCAGGGTGAGAAGGATGATAAGATAATAGCAGTTTGTGCTGACGATCCAGAATATCGCCACTACACTGATATTAACCAGCTTGCTCCTCACCGTCTGGCAGAAATCCGCCGCTTTTTTGAAGACTGTATCCTCATATCATAATTTAATTGATCTAGCAAATTCTCTACAAGTAAAATTTTCTTAATTTGTCAATAGACAAGAAGCTTGAGAACAAGGAGGTTGCTGTCAATGAGTTCCTGCCTCCAAGCACTGCTGTCCAAGCCATACAATATTCAATGTACTTTTTTGTGAATGCCTATAGTAATTTGAGCTTGTGGTTGAAAGATTTTAACATTTGCATTTTTACTTCCGTGCAGGGACCTTTATGCCGAATACATATTACAGACACTGAGAAAGTAATCTACACTTTTATGTTATGATTGTTGTGTTTATCTTTCATAAGTATTTTCTTTGTATTTGTGGGGGGGAGGGGTGAAATTCTATAGCGCATTACATGTCATTCAATTCAGTACTTGTAGTCAATTGTATTGAAACTTCAAGTACCGACTAGTCTATTAGCATGTTGAATCCTATGGGCTTGGTTGATCCACACCAAAGATATATATTCTATTGGTTCAACCTATAAAATTCTGTATTTTCAAAAATTACAAGTTTAAACATATATATATATATATATATATATATATATATATGCCACCGGAGTCGGACAAACCCAGTTAATCCTAATTCTTTGCAAATACTTTTTTTTAAACTTCCCACCTGATGTCCAATTAACCTAATTGGAGCTCAACTAAATCCGATTCACACTCCTAGTACGCAATATGGTTAATCCTAGTTGTTTCCAGACATATGCCAAGTAAACAGAATGTTATATAAAACACTCCCAATACGTGCGCTCAAGGATAAATTAGGGCCCAGATAACACCTTGCGCCAAATGCAGGAAATTATAAGATTTTCTTTTATGACATCTTCATGCACTTATGGTTTCCTCAATCCTACTAAATAACTTATGCATGAAAGCACGTATACAACACCAGGGCAAAGTGCAACATTGCCCATGTAAATCTTAATAGTACGCTATAGATAAAAAAAAAAATTTGGCTGTCCATCAACAACAAAGTATTAATGAAGAACATCTTTTACAAAATACTTGAGAACCTTCTTTAAAACGGAAAATGACAAAGGGTATCAAAGATTAATTAATGCATTCCAGCATTTACTGAGCAAGCAAGCCTTGAGATCTACCCAACTACAGTTTCAGCGTTGACTGAAGAGAGCTTTGCTAATTATACCAGTGGCCTCGATATACCGATCAACACACCTTGAGATGCAACTACCTTCACTTCCACTTAGACTGCTCCCTGGTTTGGTGATACACTTGTCAAAGCATTTGTCCCTCACCGTCTGAGATAATTGAAGGGTTAGTAACTTACTATTATATCTTCTGCAACATGCTGAACTTACATACATCACAAGTTGCAGAATCTTATTTATACAATGACAGTAACTCAATCTACTTCTCCAGAAGATGTTCAGTCCATAAAAAATTATGTATGATGCATTCACATAATCAAGGTACCATTGTTAAGTGATTCCAATTTGAAGAACCCATGATTGAAAAATGCAGATCTATCACTGGAGCAGAAAAGTATCCACATCAAGAACACAAGCAAACCTTTAAAATAAAGGTTGCAGGCAAAGTTCCAAGTAGTAACTTGAAACCAAACTATAATGTCAGTTATTCAAGTGTCATCTACAGTTTAACGCAGTCACCGAATAAATAACAGTTAGCAAACCAAATGACTTGATTGTGAAATCGGAATATCAAAGAAATATGAGATTAGAGAGTACAACACAGTAAGAGTATGGTAAATGAATTGACTGGCCACTTCAGATTCTCATAAGGAAAAATACTAATAGGTAATCTCTCATGGTGTCAATAATTGCTTGAGAAGCTATTCTTCCCCTGCTGAAATAATGAAGGAACCTCGAAAGGCTACACATGGCTTAAGTTTCTCGTATTATAAGATTGAACGCCATAACTCTTATTTGTATTTTACTTTTTATGTGTTGTTGAGAAATATGCTAGGATGAGATATTTTAAAAGATGTCATGGATGACCAAAATTTGAAACTACCAAATGCCAGTTACATCAATCAATAGTCATAATTATATATTAGCTCAAGTATTTAAAGACAAGACGATGCTAACATAGTTCCTCAGTCCCAAAATATCTACACTACCCAACTTGTGCAGTTACTAAGAAGGACAATTGTATTGTTACCCTCAACACATTATATTTTCCTCATCAAAAAGGGAAGTGGATCTGGGGAAGTCAAACCACTGTAGATTTCCACTCTCCTAACAATTAAATCTATTGTCAGGTGCAAACAGTTGGTTAAAAGATAGGATTTATTAATGGAACAATTGATTAATTGAACAAGTGTGCAAATTAATTCTAAGATGGGTGAGCCATTGCATTTTGTATAATCCTACTATTCCTCAATCCCAACAAGTTGGTCTAAAGAATCTACAATTTCTGCAAAATGAATACTGAATTAACCAAGCAAACTAAAAAGAAAAAAAGACAAGTGTCTACTAACTTAGTGATCAATTAAGTGGGGAGGGGGAGAACCATGAGATCTTAGGTTCAAATCCCAGAAGAAACAAATTAAGCTAGGTAATTTCTCATCATCTGACATAACCTTGGTAGACAAAGTCACCAGTTCATGTGTTGGTGAGAGGTACAAGGTACTCGTGAAAGAGTGAGAGATATAGAGAACTTTTTGGTCTAGAGAACCTCCTTGAAATGAAAGGAAATGAGCCAAATAAAAACAACAATTTCATTTAGCTGACTCCAAATAAGTTTGACTAGGTATAAACTATAAAGTAGTAGCAATCCATATTTACAGTTAATTATTAAAGGGAGAAAAGTTCAAACGGACCAAAGTTAAATATTTTGGAATACTAGGACAGACAGATTGTAATGCAGATTTCAGTCAACCTAAGATTTAGGATAAAAATTACACAACATCCCTAAATGGTAACTGGAAATTGTTATTAGAAAAAAATATGGAAATATATATAATTATTCATGAATAATTTGACATAAGCAGACAATTTCGTACGTGGAAAGCATACAATCAAACTCTAAAAAAAATTAATTAAAGGTGTTGGATGCTCCTAAGGCCAAATGCCAAGGAATAATTAAAACTTATAGCAAGTACAAAGGCTTAAATACCAAAAATATATTGTTTTGCTAGCACCTTTTTTTCGGACATAACCTCTCATACATCATAGCGCAGATCAGTAATTACCCAGCAACTAATTACTCAAAAACAGGTGACAGACTGCGGCATCACAGTTTTGAAAAAAAAATTAACGATGACAGAGAAAAGGAGATGAAAATAGATATCAGATCAAACCTCGAGAAATTGCTCGGCGTATGCCTGTTCAAGCTGAGTTTTGACCTGGTCCATTATGTCATTAGTCGAGAATTGGGAGGATGCTCCACTATGCGGCGGCGGCGACGAAAAAGAATCCATATCCCCTTTCACTCTATTCTCTCCTTCTGATTCTAAAACCCTAGATTAGTAGCTAAAACCCCTCTCGCCGCCTTCCTCAAATTACACATTTACCCTCGTAGTTTTTTTTTGGAGAATTACTAGTAAAGTTTGTTTTTTGTATGATTTAAAATCACTTAAATAGTAATAATTTTAAATACAAATTTGAACAAAAGAGGTAATATAATATGGGAAAAACTATTAGTAAATAATCATAATTTCATATAATTATAAACCATGGTTATACTTAAATGAAATTTGCTCTCATGTATTTATATAAACCTTATTCCTATATATATATATATATTTATACTTTTGTATATGAATTAATAATTTTGTTACCATACTGTACATATTTATGTATCACCCACAATACTATATACGAATCAATCGTTAAAGTTCCTTGTAATCATATATAATTAATTTCAATAATGTAATTATTTGGTTGGGCGGAATGTTAGAATGATTAGAGTGAATATTGCGTTTAGCAATTAATCGGATTAATATCAATTCACTGATGCTCGAGTGAATACATCTATATGACATAATTAAACTCATGATAAGCAAACAATTTTATGTTAGCAATGTGAAGGTCTTTCTTTATTTTGTTTGATTGTTTGCGGCAGTAGCGTCACTTGTCTTAGTTGTGTACTTGCATATATACTTGTTTTTTCTTTGTAAAATTTGATTGTTCAGACTGGCTAATTAGTTTTAGGCATAAGGTTGCAACTCTCCTTATTTTTTAAATTGTTAAATCTATATACTAGAGCCTAGAGGTTGTGGTTGCTGATATTCAGAAGCAGTTTCCTAAGAATCAATTTGTGGTAGTTTAAATTGTCAAAAATTAACCCCCTCTAATTGGTTACAAGGTCAGACGAAAACTCCATACATCAATTGTGTCAGATTTCACTGTGGGAGTTGCTGAAACCATAGTATGTAAATTTTAGTCCTCACTATTATACATAAAATGTGTGAGTGAGGGAATAGAGAGGTGAGTAAGATTTGAAAAGAGTTAATATATATATATTCATTTAATGACCTGCTTATTTAATTCGATTAGCTAAAAATATAATATTAAATATTTTATTTTATCATTAAATTCCTAAATCATTCTTCCTTGTCTCCCACATTTTTTTTAGTGAATTAATGATCAAATAAATGTTCAACATTCAATGGGGAATGATTTAGGGAATTAATGGTAAAATAAAATGATTAATGTTACATTTTTAGCGGGTTAGATTAAATGGGCGGGTCACTAAATGATTTAAATAGATATATATATATATATATATATATATATATATATTTGATTCTTAAAATTTCATGTCACTAAATTTTAATGAAAAAACAATTGAATAGGTTGAGTGATATTCTGTTCAAAGAAGTCATAGTTGAGTGACTTTTGAGTTGAAAATGAAAGTTGAGTGACTTTCTGTGCAAAAAAATCATAGTTGAGTGACTATTGAGTTGAAAATGAAAGTTGAGTGGTTTTCGATGAAAACAATTGATAATTGAGTTACCATCAAAGTTATTGACTCGATTTGGAAGTGAGAGGAAAGATATTAAAGAGTGAAATATTGTTTACAAAATATTTAAATTTTTAAAGTAATTGTAATAATTTTTATAAAATAATAAATGTATAACACATATTTGATATACACCTAAAGATATGAATGGATAATTGGTATTGTATTCTTGTGGTAGCTTTTTGCTTGAATTCTTGTTGTCTCAAACTGTTTAACACTTCTTTTTATAATGTATAGAGAAAATGGTCAAGCCACATATATTATATATATAAAATGAATACTATGTACATAAAATTAAAAGCTGGTTTAGTAAGTATTCAAAGTTCACCTTAATTTTTTTTAGATAGAATCTCATATACTATTTATTTTTATTTTACAAATCTTACGGAGTAACTTAGTTGATACTAATATTATTATGATTTGAACATGTGAGAGAAGAATATTAATGGGAGATAAATATATGAAATAATATAATATGAAAAATGAACATTAGATGGGCGGGCGGCTCAAGAATCAACACAAGCCTTGGTTTGGCCACATTCAAAGGCCCTTAAAACGCGACTTCATATATCTGTAGGAGTCTCTACTCATTTGCGTATTAATCTTTCTAATTTGTGGCTTTAGTTTAGTTGCAACCCATTTTAATGTGGAGTAGTTGTTATTTGGCCACATTTAATTTATTTGTTTTTAAGCCAAATGATTAAAGATTGTCTTTTTTTGTTTCCTTTTAAAAAAGAAAATGCAGTGACGATAGAAGCATACGCCAGCAGCCCGTGTGCTCATGACGATAGTGTTTTTCTATGCTAGCTCCATATATTGGGAGGAGTAATTAATATTATCATACCATTATATTAATGACATTGAATAGCTAGATCACCAATAAGTGTTTGACGTTGCCTCAGAATTGAACAGCTAAGCTCGTTAATTATACTTTTATGTGGGCACATATTTTATTGATTAATATTTCTTCAAGAATTAATAAATGAGCATATATATAGAGAGAGAGGTAGAAGATAAATAGTTGTAGTGTAAGGTGCATATATCTTTTGTGTGAAAGCAGACCAGGCATGTGAAATCAGAACATGGGATGCTTTTTCTGATTGTTGGCTATCGCACAAGTAGGCCGGTAATATATATAATTAAATAAATGGAAAGGTACTAATCAATCATGTATGACTCTAAACTAAAGGGCCTGGTTAGCAATGACGAATTAGGACTGATAGATGGTATTGGTATATATTACAATAGCATGCATGGAAGTGGAACCGTTGCTTTATATATATATATATATATATATATATATATATATATATATATAGTATACTTCAACCTAGCTAGCTGGTTGCAGGGGTGGATTGGGCGGCAGGGGCGAGCTACCCTTAGTGAAGGGGGTTCCGAATCTTTTCGGCGGAAAATCATATTATTTATATATGGTTAAAATAAGTTTATATGTATATATAGTAAAAGTCACTATCTATTTTTATAAATTTTGAACCCCTTATTAAAAATTCTGAGTCCATGTATATTGGACGGATAGGTAAACTTCATCAACATTGTAGAGCTGTCAAATTATAGGCACAGCTAGCTCATGAATATTATAATTTTATATTTAACAAGCTAATATAATTAACCACAAACATGCATGTTTGATAATTTATTGCATGCTATCTGGTATTTGGTCCATGGCATAATACATGGTCCCATATCCATCCATGGTCATGAGGTAGAAATTGAGGATGCAACTTGAATTGGTCACCCTTAATTACCATCTCAAACTTGTTTTCCAATGTGGAGCTTTTTACGTTCCTTCTTTCACATCAATCTCTTTATTCAAATTTGAGACTAATTTGTTAATAATATATATCTCAACTACAACATATTCTTAAATTTCCTCATATCGTTCGCAATTATTAAGTTTGATGCGTCTAGCCGACTTATTTTTTATATATTCACGGAATTAAAGGTTTTAAATCTTTTCATTTGTTCTCCCTCACTTCAGTGTATTAACAAAAGAAAAATAAAGTCATTACTGATCTTACATTTTCATATTAATAAAATCACTCAATTAAATTTATTATTAAGAAAATTAACACAACAAAATAAGTTGTTTTATGCTATGTAATATGAACTCCACTTATTAGAGTTATCAATATGTGCTAGTCGACCCCATCCGGGTTAACTTATACAAACTTTGACATTTTACGCACCAAGTCAGGCTAGTTCATTTTTTGTAGGTCAAAAACCGATCGCTCCAACCCACAAGTACGTGGGCTACAGGTTTGCTGGGTCAATCCACTTTTTTAAAAATATTTTTTTTTATGATTATTAAATTAAATTTAAATTATAGTATAAAAATATTAATGTTCCTACTACTTGTTAATTAAATTCACAAATAAAATTATCTTTATAATATATATTAAGTTTCTTTTTAAGTAAAATATAAATATCTCAATAGAAATATTAACTTTTTGAGTTCGGACTCTCTTTAATTTTAAATTTTAATATTATATTATATTTTAGATTAATTTTTAATGGCCCACGGACCGACTCAACCGATATTTCTCATGCCCCACAGATTAATAGACTTATTCAGACTGGGCTAAAAAACTCTTTTCTTAAATGAGCTCTAAAAATTTTAGCCTACTTCTATTAAATTCCGAATTAGGCCAGACCGATCCAACATACCTAACCTATATTGACGGCTCTACCAGTTATAAAAGAATTCAAGAAAAAACTTAATTAGTGAATATATTCAAAATTTGAAAATGTACTATAATGGATATTTTCTACCCTAAAAAAGACTTGTAACCTTGCAAATAAGTGGCTCAATAACTACAATGCTAAATTGTTGCAGTCCCTGGGTAAAAAAAAAAATGTTGAGCTACAATACTAACTCCATGTGAACCATATGAATTAGTTAGTTAGTACACGTAGGACAATTAATTAGTTACAGAATTCTGTTGAGTAGTTAGAGTGTGTAAAAGATTCTGTGTGCCTCTATATATAAAGGTGATTATGTACAATTTCTTGCTGCTTCTTTTTTAATGAATAATCAATTCAGTTTTATGCTTTATTCTCTGTCAAATGGAAGCTCCATTAATGGAGTCTAGAGTTCTTTAGATCACAATTTGATATGGTATCAGAGCCAGCGACGCAAGCTGTGCCAGAGTTTTTTTTTCTTCAATTATTTGAGATTTCGTTGCTTGTCATGGCAGCTACAAAGATCGATTACAATCATCCTTTATCCATAGGTCCTGATACATCGAGTTCAATGACTATTCCTATTAAACTCACTGGATCTGATAATTACGGTATATGGAGCAGGTCAATGAGGATTACTCTTCTAGGAAAGAGGAAATTTGGATTTGTAACAGGTGCTTGTTCGAAGGATTCATGCAAGGATGAGTGGCAGGAGCAGTGGGAGACTTGTAATGCAATTGTTCTTTCGTGGCTGATGAATACAGTGGGTGAAGAGCTCCTTAGAGGGATCGTGTAT